TACGATACAATGAATCATTTTCAACTGAAAGAAATGAATTTGGTAAAGCAGGAGTCAGCCATGATTCTGATATAGCCACAACATGTGCTTGTGTCTGAGCAAGTAAGAAAGACTATACATTGGTCCTACCAATGAGCCCCCCACCCCCTCCGGACCCCCACCTAAAACTTTAAATCTGTTCTGGTGAGGTCTGAGTTCTGGTGGTTTGCGTGCCAGGATCATATACCACTACGCAGTATATAGTTTGATGTCTTTACCTCGTTGGGAGCATCTGCCTCAACAAACTGTTGGTAGATCTGCTTGGCTTTGGTCGCCGCCTTGGATGGTGGAGTRTTCTTGTAATCCTCACAAGCGATCCAGAAGTCCACGTTCTCCTGACTGAACTCTGACTTCAGGAAGGTGGTGAAGACCGTTCGACCCACTGGAAGAGAAAGAAAACAAATCTATTGGAAATGCACATTACAGAGCAAACACAAAGGCAAAAACTCAAATACGGTTAATGGATGAAGCTTTAAACCYTCTTTAGTTTCTAAGCTTTGTGTTATTTTTTTTTATTTTGCGCAGGTAAACAGGGCAGAAAGGCCAAATATATTGGTTAAAACATCAACTGTTATCTGCTTTTCCCCCACAATTCATCTGCATTCAAACAACGGCTGATGGAGGGACAATGACACCATCGACCCAGAACTGAAATCTGCTAGCGACTGCGGCTAATATCAGCCGTACGTCATGGATTTTTCGACTGACAGAAGAATGGAGCAAACAGATGAGTCTCCGCAGAGGTGTAATAAAAAAAGCCAGAACAAAGGACGCTGTAATGCTCCAAAGTCCAGCACGACCAAGATGACAAATTGTGGCAAAGCGTTTGGGTCACAACGTGGTGAACAAAAAGAGGATCGAGCCAACAGAAGCCGGCGATTGATGCCGGGGAGAAGACGTGACGACGCCGGAGGTCAGCGGACGAGTTCATGGGACGCAGCGGGTCAGAACTCAGCTGGTTTCCCGCAAGGCCAATGCTCCTCGGTTTTTTTTATTTTTAATCGGCACACACTCTCTCAGCGAGATTCTCAGAGGAGCTGCAATATATGCAGAAGCACACAGACACATGCAGCCGTGCAGCGGTCAGAACGCCCTGAGGGGCCTCTCAGCAGTGCCTTGTGACACGTAGCAAAAGAAAAAAAAAAAAGCGGAGCATGAGAATGAGCCGAGGAGCGGCTGAGTGTGTTTGTGCCTCCTGCAAAGCYCCAGTGTTTTATTTAAACTGACCTTACTGAGCAGTTCAAATTAAAAAACTGATGAAAATATGTTTTCAAAAAGTGTCGGAGGATACGAAGCTGTCGTCGCACTTCGCTGGCTTCCATATCGGTGTTTTTTAGAGATTAAAAGCTTTCTAATGAGCTTGTTTTCATTACTTCACATGAGAAATTTCATTTTGTTAAGTTTAGCCTTTTATGAACCCGGAGAGACCGACTGATCTGCCGAGAACTGATGAGTCAAGCATCTGCCCGACTCTCTGAACCAATTATATTCAGGCTCCAGAGGTGCAGAAGAACATTTACTTTGTTAAAGTACTTAATGTTTTCTTTGAGGATTTGTAACTTTACCAAGTAATTCTTTCAATTGTAACTTTTACTTTTATTTCGTTCCATTTTAGGTCTACCATGGGGGGCGTGGGGGGGGATATGCTCGCTTCCTATTAATTTATGTATTGAACCGTTTTCTACAATGATTCAAGTTACTTTGGGGTTAAAATATATTGTAATACTTTTACTGTGATTTACTTAACTTTCTTGTTTTCTTTGTATTTTTGCACCTTTTCTGTTCCACTTCGGTTCACCCTACCCCTTTGTCCATTTACCTGTACAATGAGCCTCAAAAATCCGTAATTTTCTAAAAAATAATCCGTATTAATCCCACGCGAGCGGACTGTCGGACACAGAGATGACAGCRACTGCAGCRCAAAGCAGGAGGAAATGAGGTCGGGAGAGTTCGTTTCTGCCAGGCTCTGACAAGTTAATTAAGTTTAAAAATGAGTTTTTGAAAATATTCATAAAACGTGAAAAAAATCAGTGCGATTCCTCTTTACGTCTGTATATCTGCAAAATGAGGGAAAATCTGTGTAAATTAYGGACAATCCGTACACCCTGACATGTATGGCTTATGTTTTCCCCACATTTTTTCCCAGTAGTAACAAATATTTAATATTTTTAGAGGTGCACTACAATTTGACACGGAAAAATTACAGCAGACTAAAAACCTGCATTTAATTTTCAGCTGTTATGATTAAACGTACATATATGACATATAAATGTCGAAATCAGGTCAGATTCCCTTTGGGATCAATAAAGTATCATTCATTCATTTATTCATTCATTCATTCATTTAAATTTATCTACAGACCAACAGAGATGTGAACTTAACTAGTTAAATTCTATTGTTTTAGAGCAAATTATGCCATTTCAATGGGGGGTTATATCGACTGGATCAAATTATTTTGGGGGTCATCACCCCTCCTAACCCCCCGTTGCAAGTTACGCCCATGTTCAAAACATAAAAATTACATTTTTACTTCTGTACTTTAAAATAATTCTTAGTAATAGTTACCACATTAAAATTTAAATATGATGGGAACTCAAAAAGGGTTTTTATTCACTCTAAAACATAAAATGTTGTATTTAGTCATTTTCTTGAATTGTATTTTTACCTATTTATTTCTTTTAAGTACTTTATACACCTCTGTTCTGAGTTGTTTCATTTATAAACGTTAACTTTGCCTCATTCGAGCTGAGATTCACAGTTTTGAATGTATAACTGTGATAAAATGTCCTCTTACCCTCGTTGCTCATCACRTGGCTGAAAGACTCTTTCCATTTCTCCAAATCGGCTGGATCAGGCAGTCTAAAGTAAAAACAAAAGGTACCGTTTTAATTATTAATACTTCCACTTTCATCATCATAAAAAAAATAAGTGCTACATTATCGTGTTTCCATCATGTTGTTAAATTAGTTTTAATTAGGTAACTGAACCCTGAGACACTAGTACCTTTTTTTTTTACTATATTTGAAAACGCACCTAAAGGAGTATTATATCAACACCGTGAACCCAACTGCACCGTCTGTGATCTATGTTGACATTTCTGATAACGCCGGCCTGCGTCATCTGACCTTTAAAACGTAATAATGCTTCCTTTAAGATTCAGAGACCTCAGAAACGACAACAAACAGGAGGAAACTATCTGCATGTGTGAATGAATAAGCTGAATATCGATCAGCGTGACCAGGTGGATTATCTACAGGTAAAAAAAAAAAAGGTCAGAGGTCGATGCCGTCACTTTCTCATAAAGAACAATTTAAAGGCGCCTCGTGGGAACAAACCCTGCGGGCGGGTCAGGGCCGACACAAAACCTGCTCCTCCTCCTCCTCACGTCCAGGTTTAAATTTAACTCCAACCAAAACAGCATCAATGACAGCAACCGTTTACACAAAACACATAAAGCACAAACAACAGGAGACACACATGATGATTTAAGTGGCTGTCGCACCAGGCAGTTTCCCTTTCAGATAAATGTTTGTGTCCAAACAGGTGCGTTAAAACGAGCGTCGTTTCCACGTGAAATGAACCATRTCTGTTCTCATCTGCTCCTCACTAAAACAACGTGACACTCCAGTGACTCGTTCAGACRGTTAAACCAAAGTTATGGATGGATTATCATTTTTTGCTTCATTTTGAAGTCAGACAATCAATGAAACCAATGTCCTGTAGACTAATAAAATACTCAAARCTTCACTCGTTTTTCTGATCCTTCAGAACAAAACTCTGAATATTTATCAGTCTAGAAGTTTCTAACGACCTCATCAGATCTCTCTATTTACCTATAAACTCCTCCAGGAAAGTGACACAGATTCATCTTTAACGACTTCGTTAGAGTTTGTTTATTTATCGTTAAATGCTCTTTAAAGAAAAACAAATGTTCCTGACCTCTTTGCAGCAGCTGTGGCACTTTTCTCCTTTATCTCTCTCTGATCCGCTGCGTGGGGTTCAGGCTTCTGCAGTAAGAAGCTTATTTTGTGCTTGATGTCCTTTGCACTGTGAACAAACACATTTTAAAACTGTTTGCATTAAAAATATCAAAACAAGTATTTGCATGTTTGAATTTTAGCATTATTTCAACAAGATGTGAGCAGATTGTCAGTTGTTTCTTCTAATTTCAAAGCATTTCCCATCAATATCTTGTGCATGATGGTGGGCTTACCTTTTCAAGCACGTTGCAGGGAGTGTTGCGAGTCCTTTGCACATGTTGGAATCTTAAAAATCCAAAAGTCTGTATTTGTTTTGTCAATGACAGCAGGGAGGAATCTGTGTAGCTGTGAGCAGCAGAGTTTTTATATCAGCGTCCCTCAGTATTAGACAGCAGGCTACACTTATCTCCACCCCTAGTGGTGATTTATACCAGTACAAAACAGGGAGAGGAAAAACCAGCCAATCACAAAAGATGGAGAGAGGAGGAGAGAGACAGGAAGAGAAGAGGGGAAAAGAGGGAGGGGACGAAAATATGGGGAGAATTTTCAACAGATGGGTTTGCATTTAAACTAAACAAAAGGTGTTTTTCCTCAGACTCACGTGATTCAGGCATTTGAGGAACTTGTGAAGTTCACCTTCTGTGGAAAACAACAAAACGCTTTATCATCTGAGCAAAAAAAAATCTAATCTGCTCACATGCGCTGGYATATGTCAGAGCTTTTTAATGCACTTAGCCAGGTGTTTCTGGGAAAGTGTTGTCATTTGTTTTCACTGAAGGACCACTTCAGAGGGGGAGGTCACRGTCAAGTATGCCGAGGTCGATCTCCTCATCAACACCCTCTCTGTGATCAAGTTTCACGTGTGTTGACACCAACTTGACGMAGTGAACTCATCCCGTTTGTTTTTGTTGTTCTGGATCTTAAATTCTGAATAAAGGATTTACGTTTTGGTGCGAATCAGAACACGTCCATCAGTATACAGTATATATCAGATCTACTTCAGCTGCATGGACCTAGACATATGCTGAGGTCCTGACTAAAGACATGAAGCATTTCAGGTTGTAGCTCCTTCATTTCAGAAAGCATCGCTTCAATTTCTAAGAGCTGTGGACTCAGTGGAGATTTTAAAAAGCAGCTAAAACTCACCTTTTTAAAGCAGACTTTCTAGCATGGTTTTATAAGTTTAAATGATTGTCTTATCTATGCTTTATGGTTTGTTAATGTGTTTTTATGCTCTGTTGTGTGTTATTCTGTTTTATTGTGAAGCACTTAGTGGCTACTTGACTGTAAAAAGTGCTATACAAATATATTTTACTTACTTACAATAAAGTACAATTGGCTGAATAATGCTCTGGGAGAGGAACAGGAGAAAGCRTGGAGCCACAAACACTCATCTGAGTTTTCAGCTGGCAGAAAGACTGGTAGCTTTCTTTTTTGGATGTTGGTTGCTTGCTTGGTGAGTTCATTGGTTGGTATGGTTGGTTGGTTGGTAGATTGTATTGTTGGTATGGTTGGTTGATTGGCTAGTTGGTATGGTTGGTTGGTTGGATGGTTGGTAGGATGTAGGTATGGTTGGTTGGTTGTATAGTTGGTTGGTAGAATGTATTGTTGGTTGGTTGGTTGTCTGCTTGCTTGGTTGGTTGGTAAGATGTATTGTTGGTAGATTGGTTGGTTGTATTGTTGGTAGGTTGGCTGGTTGGTTGGTATATTTGGTTGATTGGCTGGCTGGTATGGTTGGTTGCTTGCTTGCTTGGTTGACTGCATGCTTGATTGGTTGCTTGTTTGTTTGGTTGGTTGGTTGGTTGGTTGGTTGGTTGGTTGGTTGGTTGGTTGGTTGGTTGGATGTATTGCTGGTTGGTTGGTATGCTTAGTTGATTGGCTGCTTGCTTGCTTTGACTGCTTGGTTGGTTGGATTCTTGCCGGGTTGGTTGGTTGATTGCTTGATTGGTTGGTTTGTAGGATGTATTGCTGGTAGGTTGGTTGGTTGGTTGTCTGCTTGGTTGCTTGGTTGGTTGGTTGGTTGTCTGCTTGCTTGGTTGGTTGCTTTGTTGCTTGGTGTGTTCGTTGGTTGGTTGGTTGGTTGGTTGGTTGGTTGCTTGTTTGGTTGGTTAGTTGTCTGCTTGCTTGATTGGTTGGTTTGTGGGACGTATTGTTGGTTGGTTGGTTGGTTGGTTGGTTGGTTGGTTGGTTGGTTGGTTGGTTGGTTGGTTGGTTGGTTGGTTGGTATGGTTGGTTAATTGTCTGGTTGGTATGGTTTGTATATTCATTGGTTGCTTGCTTGGTTGACTGCTTGATTGATTGGTTGCTTGCTTGCTTGTTTGGTCGGTATAGTTGGTTGTCTGCTTGCTTGTTTGATTGGTTGGTTGCTTAGTTGTTTGGTTGGTAGGTTGTATTGTTGGTTGGTTGGTTGGTTGGTTGGTTGGTTGGTTGGTTGGTTGGTTGAATTCTTGCTTGGTTGATTGGTTGGTTGGTTGTCAGCTTGGTTGGTTGCTTGGTGTGTTTGTTGGTTGCTTGCTTGCTTACTTGGTGGGTTGGTTGGTTGGTTGGCTGCTTGCGTGCTTGTTTGGTTGGTATGGTTGGTTGCTTGGTGTGTTCGTTGGTTGGTTGGTATGGTTGGTTGGTTGGTTGGTTGGTTGGTTGCTTGGTGTGTTCATTGGTTGGTTGCTTGTTTGGCGGGTTGGCTGCTTGTTTGTTTGGTGGGTTGGCTGGTCGGTTGGTTGCTTGGTTTGTTGGMTGTTAAAATTTTAGCTCTGGCCTTCATGTGGCCACACCTAAAAGAACAAACATTCTGAAGGTGACTGCAGATTCAGCATCTGATTCTTACTGAGCTGTATTTTCTCTGTACACTCGTTTAATTGTCATTTTTATTGTTTTGACACATTAAATTTGTTGGAATGTGCCAATAAAAAGTTTAGAATTTGTAAATGAGTTCTGACATTACTGAGATGAAATCTTCTTGTACAAACAAACAAAACAGAATGTAGTCAATATGTTTCAGAACAACTTGTTTTCACCTAATTTTCTTTTATCTGCAGAAAAGAAACGTGCAGACTTTCTGTTCTTTGTGGACCTGAAGCAACATATAATCTGTGTGTCAAAATGTCTACATTTTTTCATGCCTGAAGGTTTTGAGAGTTTTCCCTTTTTCTTTGTTTTTACACAGTAATTTTAAAAGCCTCACCGAGCTGGATTTACCAGTAAATAAAGCCATACAGCAAAAACAAAGTGAAAACATGATTGAAGTGTTTAGTTTGTGCTCACTGTCTGTTTAAAGAACACAAAAGTGTTTTAGCTCTGAGACTACATTTACAATAATCTAATAATCCATGTGTTTTAAAGAAAAACCTCCACAAATTGATAGGAATCTATAAAAGCCATAGAAAGTAAATCAAAAGCAGATTGTTTAAAATATGCTCCATCTTTACCTACTGCTCTTTCAGTTCTTGTTTTCATTAAATGGTGGAGTTTGGTGGGCTTTTCATTGATTTATTTTAAGAGGATGAGAATAACTGAGCTATCACCAAGACAACAGAGGGAACTCAGTCCTTTAAATAAAAAACACAAGATACTTCGTAATTTAAGTTTTGGCCAAGATGTTGATATTTAACATGAGAGTGGAGCAACTTAGTCTCTGTGCTGCGATCAATTTGACTTTTTGTTTGCGTAACTCCAGACTCTGAAGTGTTTGTTGAGAAAACTGCTTCAATCAGGACTACAGCATCATTTTGAAGATTTTAAGTGTCCAAATGTTAATGAAAAATAATGGTTTAATGCCTCCTTCCATCAATAATCTCCAGACATGTAGAAAAAGTTTCATGAGGACTGATGTTCAAATATGTGTTATAAATTAAATAAAAGTCCCTTTATCGCGCTATAGAATGGTTTTCTCTTTCAGTTTGTAAAGAGTTGTCACACATCTGGTGCCAACTCTAGATTACACAGATGTTATTTATGGTAAAACCACAGAAATTAATCTTAATAGTCTTTGTAAATTTATTCTGAGGTGTCYATTTTAGGACTMATCACTGTTTTATGTAGGAGACCTTGAACTTGGCAGCTCCCAAGGCCTGAAGAAACTTTTATTGTTTTTTTATTGTATTTTTAAATGAATTAAATTTAATTTAATTTTCCTCCATGTTTAAAACAATTCTTAATACCATTTAGTTCACATTATAACCTGAGACATCAGTTATTTTTCTTCACACCAAGAATTAGGAAAGTAATCAGACGTCGTGTATTTCAGTTTAATTTGCCTCAGATGTGTYGCGTCTTTTTGTATTTTTAAATTGTCTTTACGTATGTATCATCAAACATCTTGCTCCTGTTTTCAATAAGAACAAAGACTCTGGACTTACTCCTGACATGTATTTTGTATTTACATGTATTGTGTTATTTGGTGTCTTGTTGTTGAGTGTATGTACCATACAATTACTATGAATTTATATGTACATGTATTTTTTTATGAATATAGTAGCTGGTTAGGTGCAGGGGAAGCAGTGAGTATGTGTTTAAAAGTTTTGTATTAGTTGAAGGAATTTATTAGATACTGATTTAAAGCATCACACCATTTGTCTTAGTTTCCTTTTTAAGGCTTGACTTTTATAATCTACWGTTTGACTATTGTAATGTCCTGATTAAAAGAGGTTTAGTTACTTGCCCAAAACCACCTTGACAACACATAATAAATAAACCGTTAATAAAAACATTAGATGAGCGTTGCTGTTCAGAGTGTCTGCGATTCAGCCATAGGCCTGTAGGGGGCGTACGAGGCACTGAAGATCCCTGCATGTAAAAAGACCAGAACTTCCTGTTTCAGGCAGCRCTGCTCAGATTGCTTGATAAAGCTAGCTCGTACCAGATCTAGGGTTGTATKGTTTCCAAATCTCTTCAYATTTTAATCTATTCAATATTTATGTGGTTTCRTCTAGATTTYAGTCAAAGAACACTTAATTTTCTTACAGTATCCATCCATTATCTRTATCCACTTATTCTTTTTCTAGGGTCACGKRRGTCACTGGTGCTCATATCCAGCAATCACAGTGCGAGGGGCGGGGTACACCCTGGACATGTCGCAGGTCCATCACAGAGACACACATAGAGACAAACGAGACAAACAACCGTTCACTCTCTCACTCACACCTAGGGACAATTTAGAGTTATGAATTGCCTATATGCCACGGACATCCTGCCCAGCACTGGATGCCTCTCCTAGCACTTCCGGTTCACAGTCAACACAGTGTTAGCAAAAGATTTTTTCACTCAACAACGACTCTTAATGATCTCCACAGTACAGAATTAGCATATTACATGTACCAACATTAACACAGGAGACGTACAGGTCCAGCCATGTGGAAAAAAATCACTCCAAAGTGGATTAAAGCCATAAAAACAAAGGAAAAACATT